AAGCTAATGAGTGGCTGGCAGAACACAACTCTTCCTACCCAGGAGGTCCTCAGAACCAAATTCTAAACTTGAGCCCTCACTAGGCACCAGGTACTGCACGTTCACCGATTTGTATCTAATTCTAGGTGCATCATATTTCAAGACAGCTAGTGCAACAGATTTCAAGAGAAATGACTCTTCCATGCATCACAGGTTATCCTACGTCCTAGAAAGAAGTCTAGGACAAATCCGTATCTATTAAACTGAACTTCATGCCCTGCTGTAGAGTACAGATATCCTGAAGAAAAAAAAAAAAAAAAATTTAGAAGCCACCTAGAAACTGAGCTGGAACCTGGGACGTTTAGCCTGTTTGCAGTATTAACTGGGAATGGGGATGGAATGGCAGCCTCTTTAAACTTAATATTCCCTCTTTCTAACAGTTACCAACAAGACAAATTTACAACTTACAGAGTAGTAGAAATATCAAAACTATTCAGTAATAAGATTTATGTAGAGCAACCAATTTCGTGTGGTCTAGTACAAGTATTTCAATAACACTGCCTCATCCAAAAACAAAGACAAAAGACCATTTAGCAATTGTTGCAGTGTATCTGAGCCTAACAGCCACATAGTAGGAAACAGGGCAAAGGCCATAAAAATGGGACCAAACAGGAGGGGTGTTATGGTTTGTGTATAGGTGTCCCCCCAAAGCCTCATGCAGTCTTGGGGTGGCTCCCAGAGTTTGAGTTTGATTACTGTGGGTGTGGCTGCTGCACCTGCCCTGGGGCACGTAATCTGCATCACAATGTAAGGAGGGAAGAGAAGCTGGCTGCTTGAGCTGCTGCTACCTCTCTCTGGCGCTCTTGCTCTTTGCTGCCACCCTGAAAGGTTGCTCTCTGCTGTGTTGCTGTGCCTTGGAGCCAGCTGAGTAAGGACTGAAACCTCCAGTAACTGTGAGCTAAATAAACCTTTCCTTCCTTCATTGTGAGCGTCGGGTATTTCTCCCAGCAACAAGAGAAGAGTAACTAAGACAAGGGGAAACTCCCTAAATTCAATATGCTGTACAGTGTTTTCTTACAACTTTATACTCCCTCTTGATATCACCAATTTTCAGCTACAAGGACATCTTAATTTGTTATCCTGACTACTCCTGTTTGACAGACATCTTTTGTGATGGTCCAGAGTCAAAAAAATTATCTTCTCTCAGGTCACTTTGGCCTAGTAATTTTCTTAAATGGTTCCAAACATTTTGATGTCTTTCTGTCTATTACTTAATGGTATGCTTCTAGGTTGATGCACATAAAATCTTCATGATGTAGCTAGGGCATTTCAAATTTCTAATTAGATAAAAATAAGACTGAGCCAAACCAAACTGTAGAAAAGAAATATAGTTTATTAATTTTTTTTTTTTTTTTGGCATTTTTTAGGGAAAGGTCTACAAGGTGTTCAGGGTTTCACGACTAGACCAGACTTGTAGTGATCTGCCTGTTTACTGCCTTCCAAGAGCTGGGATTACAGGCACACGACACCATACCCAGTCTCAATTAGCATCTCAGCAAGCCCTGGGGGCGGGGCAGCAAGGCAGTCCCAAGGATCGAACCCAATGCCTGCTTGCAGGCGCTTTAATCCACTGAGCTATTTGGCCAGCCCGTTTATTAACTTGGATTATAAGAAAATAAGTTTTAATCCCTGAACAATGCAAACCCTAGATAAATCCAAATATTTTGGAACCCAATGTTATGTATCAGCCTCAGAACACAGGCTTTCTATACCAGGTACCATCCTAGAGCTCCACATAAGCCCTAATGCTACCTCCAGGTAGAACGTCATATACTGACTTGGGTTACTCACAGGATCCTATGCTAAGAATTTTCCCATATACAACTCCAATCCATGCTTTTATAACTTATGGCCAAAAGGCACACTAATATAACGCTGGAGTGAGTAGAAACTGTATTTCTTAATATATAGAAAAACTATAAACACATCCTTTGACCTGAATTTTCTACTTTTAGGAATCTGTCCTGAAGATAAACTTGAAAACCGATGAAATTTTACCCAGTGATGTACTGCAGCATTATTTATAAGAGCAAATTTTAAAAATCAACCTGAATCATTTGGGGACTGATTAAATAAATGGCAGTAATTCCATCAATAAAATAGCAAGTAGCCCTAAAAAGAAAGGAAAGGATAGGCTGGGGATATAGCTTAGTGGCATAAGCACCTGCCTGGCAAGCACAAGGTCTAGACTTTGATTCATGGTACTAGAAAAAAAATAAAAGGAAAGGAGCAGGAAGGGAGAGCTCTTAGTTCTGGGTTAGAGAATAAAAAAGAACACCTTAATTTTATTTATTTTTATTTATTTATTTATTTTTTTTTTTTTTTGCAGAACTGGGGATTGAACTCAGGCCCTTGCGTTTGCCAGGCAAGTGCTTATTCTACTGAGCCAGCCCCCCGGCCCAGAACACCTTAAGATATGGTAAATACAAAAGCAAAAAGCATAATGTGTATAGGATTTTGTGTATAAAAAAGGTTGGGCTAGCGAGGCATAGTTGAGCGCGCCTGTAATTCCTAGCACTCTGAGGCTGAGACAGGATCATTTCAGAGCTTGAGGCCTGCTTGGGCTACATACAAAGTGAGTTCAATACCAACCTTAACTGCATAGTGAAACCCTGTCTCAAAAAGATTAAAAAAAAAAAAAAAGAGGGAGCGGAATATATATATCTATATAGTACTGGGGAAGGATAATACAGGATCGCCAAAATATGACACCTTAAATGATACTTGTCCCAGAAAAGACATTAGATGTCTTCACAATACAAGAGGGAAATGTGTGGCTATGATTCAAAAGTTCTAAGGGGGCCTGGAACTAGCTCCGTTCTTTAAGTGGCTGCTTCCACAATGCTGGCAGCCTCAGGTTGCTGTAGTTCGATCCCCACAACACTCCAGCCATCCAAAAGTGCCCTGAAGTCATTCAAGGAGCAAAAAAAAAAAAAAAAAAGTTCTGTAAATGATCAGGCATGGTAATGCCTATCTATAATCCCAGCACTTTTTTTTTTTAATTTTTATCTTTAAGACAAGGTCTCACTAAATTCAGGTTGGCCTCGAACTAACTTGGTAGCCCAGACTGACATTGAACTCCTGTCAATCCTCCTACCTCAGCCTCCCAAATACAAGTGGAAGTGTGGTGGATGCCTATAATCCCAGCACTTGGAAGGCTGAGGCAGGAGGATCACTGGGAGCTTGAGGCCAGCCCAAGCTTCACAGTGAGTTCAAGGCCAGCCTAAATTACATATCTAAACCTTGTCTCAAAAAGCAAAATAAATAAATATAAGTAAATAATAAATAAAATTTTGTAAATGTAATACTTCAGAGTACTCAGGAGGCTGAGGCAGAAGGATCATTTAAGTTTCAGACCATAGGGGCTGGGGAGATAGATGGCTCAGTGGGGTAAGTGCTTCTCTGGCAAGTACAAGGGCCTCAGTTCTAATCCCTGGTTCTGCAAAAAAAAAAAAAAAAAAGTTTCAGACCAGCCTGGACTACAAAGTGAGCTCAAGGCCAGCCTAAACTGCACAGCAATCCTGTCTCAAAAAGACAATCATCACATGCCTGCCAGCCCTGCCCTCAAGGTAGGCTGAGCTGGCCACAAAAACAAACAAACCAACAAACAACCCAGGTTCATCCCTAAAGACTTTGTAGCCACAGTCTGGGAATGATGGCCCATACCTATAATCCCAACACTCAGAAGGCTGAGGCAGGAGGATTGGTGTGAGTTCAAAAGCCATCCTGGGCTGCACTGCAAGACCCTGCCTCAAGAAAAAAACAAAACAAAACAAAAAACCCTCTCAAATTCACAGACATGAAAAGTATGGCCCAAAGAGGCTGAACAACTTCACCAACAAGAAACAATTACTAAGTAGCACAGTAAACCTAGAACCTGACTCAAATTCCAATCTATTCTCATATATTTCTTTTACCTTCCGGGTCCTAATTACCACAAGAGGTGAGCAAGGGCAACTACAATCCAGCTTGCATTTTGGTGATAACACAAATGGCAGGCTAGTGTGAGTTGATGGCTTCTCTCTGTAAGACATTTCTAAGCGCTCACAAAGAAACCCAAATGGCTACGTATAGTTACATGTTGTCTTGCTTCTCAGCTGTGCTATGCTTTAGCAAAGTGCGAAGAATAGTTAAAGTCATCAGATCAACAAGGTGTAGGGAGCAGGGCTTCCTGAACACTAATATATTTTAAAATTTGGAAAAAAACAACTTAACCAAGGCATTCAAATTATTATTTTTTTTTTTTTGCAGAACTGGGGATTGAATTTAGGCCTTTGTGCTTGCCAGGCAAGTGCTTATTCTACTGAGCTATCTCCTCAGCCCCTCAAATTATTTTTATATTAAAACAAAACAATACATTGTAGCATGAATGTAGAATGCATATAAGCACTTCACATCAGGGGGTCTAGAAGGATACTTTGTCCAACTCCTAAGAGCCAGGGGGGCTGGGAGATGGCTCAGGGGAATAAGCGCTTCCCTGGCAAGGCCTGAGTTCAATCCCTGGTTCCACCAAAAAAAAAAAAAAAAAAAGAAAAAACAGGCAGGAAGGGTTTTGAACTACCACAGCAGGAGAACTAAGGTAACAGCTTACTTGGATTAGACGGACGGCCCAAGATAACCATATCTGCCCACTGTGGCCCCAAGTTACCGTGGATCCCTAACAGCGAAGCGCCTCCATTTCCTCATCTGTAAAATGTGGTCAGGAGATTGCTTTACCTGTAGTTCTGTTACAAGAACTGGAAGTGATTACATTAACCAAACTGCCTGGGCCATAGAGCACTGCAAGGAGTACAACAGCAACAACCTACCTGACTGTCTGCCTGTCTCACCTCTCACCTGGCTTCTGCTTTCGAGAAGACAAGACAGGCAGAAAGGTAGCGTCAAGCCTTTCTCACCAGCCCCCACAGAAAGGAGATGCCCAAGGACAGAACTACCCAGGGAACACTGTTCATTATACTCACATATTTCATTTCAAACTTCTTAGCCAACATTTCCACTTCTTGCCTCTCCTGATGCTCATCATTAAGTGGGTCTTCTGTACGAAAGAGTTTTTTCTGATTCAAAGTGAATGGGAAAAGATACAAAAGTATTAGTATTACCTCAACTGTTATAATTGCTATATGTTAATATCTTCAATTATACTGCAATAATTGAATAATCACATATA